TGGGTGTGTGTGTGTGTGTGTGTGTGTGTGTGTGTGTGTGTGTGTGTGTGTGTGTGTGTGTGTTTGTTTGTGTGTGTGTGTGTGTGGACAGACTAATGGACTTGGTCAACAATATAAAACACAAAGTCAACAACATGACACTGTCCTCACCTAAACAACACTTATGGTATAGCTGCTATAGTAACAAGATTCATTATAACCTGAAATGAAATCCCCATCCATCACGTGTACTTGTTTAAATTACCCTAATCCTCAGACATGTTGCGTATGCACTTGGAGGGACACACGTGAGCTGATGCCACAGAGAGATTTCATTTCCTTATCTGGGGCTGTTGACCCTGGCAGCAGACAGACCCACTGGGGCCGGTCGAGCATATGGCAATGGCAATGATTTGAAGCTTCAGGGTCTGAAGAGGATAAGCAACAAGCTTTATGAATATTATGGAAAACTGATTTTAGCAGAAAGTTGAATTTCTGTTTTTAAAATCTGGCCATATGGTCAGAGGAAGAATACAAGAGTTTTGGTTACAATAATAAACTGCAGTAAAAAAAAAGTAATTCTATAGCACTTATCTAAACAAGGTCACCAGGTGCTTCACTATACACTCGGAAATAAAACAACGCAGACCAAAACAAGGACGGAAGACAGATGAAGAAAATGTCAAAACAAACATCTGTTAAAAGCAGTTAAAAGTCAGACATTTCAAGGCTTTCCTACAAAATGTGTTTCAAGCAACGATTTCAAAACAGATGCTGACAAGTATAATCTCCTCTAGAAAGGAGTTCCTGGGCCTCGGGGTCTTGATGGCAAGAGCCTGGTCACCTTTATTCGTCTTTTACATCATTACATGGAAAAATCGAGAAACTCTAAGTTACCACCACTGAGCCGCGGCCAATCAAAATCCATGTCTACTGCAGAGCCATTTGACCCTAATGCAGATTATGTCCATTCCCACTGCAGACAAATGCCAGATGTTGTTGAATGTTAGTGTTTTTTTTGACCAGTGGAAAAGTGGCTTTAGGAACTACCAGCAGGCAGATTAATAATTACGACTTGGAGCATAGGGAGTTAGCAGCTCGGGCCAGGCTGTGCAGAGCAGTAAAAGTTTTTAAAAGAATCTTAAAATCGATCATAAATTTAACTGGCAGCCAATGGAGGGAGGCAAGAATAGGAGAGATAGGAAACCTGCGTCTGGTGATCGTTAGAATGTGAGCGGCAGCGTTCTGCACTAAAGCTGAAGCAGAGACACTGAGGATTGACTGGGACATGTAAAGAGTGCATAGTCCAGGCATAAGAGGACAAATGTGCGAATAAGCTTTTCTGGGTCAAGAAAAGATCACTTGCTGATTTGATTTTGGCTTCATCTTGTACTAGATCATACAAGAAACATAGTGGTTAGTGAATCTAGTTTTGCTTTTAGCTTGTGCATAT